ACGGGTACTTCAACTCCCAGAAGTCCCCAGCCAGCACTGAGTCTTGAGTGGGGTCCTTTGGCCTGGTGGAGATGGAGGTCGTGATGATGATGAAGATGTTTTGTACTCTATTACTACTTCTTGTAATCGTTGCACTGCGCGTACACTGCTGAGCATCCTTTGTGATTGCAGCAGGCTGTAAGCCTAAATAAATAGTGTGAAAATAACAAGTGAGGGGGATGCAAATTTGCGGGGGCCGAAAAGAGACCTTGGGGGCAAGGAAAGGATCGTTCCACCCAGGGACTCCAGATTTTGTCTTCTCACTTGTCACTCCTCATCCCCAGCCCCAAAAGGAACAATGTGCTGTGTAATGCACGCAGATCAATCTATTGTATGGAGTGATTTCTCGTATAGTGTCAACTTGCTCACTTATACTGCAATTACAATGACAGTGGAATGATGGCATATAAATACAGGAGAGAAAACAGCCTTGACTAGAAGTAAAGCTGGATAGAAAAGCGGGGATTCAGTATTTAAGAATAAGACATTATGAGTAGTGTACACTTGACGTCATGATTTTTACCATCTTAGGCTGTGCTTCCTTTACTTCCTGGCTGGAATAGGTGCTTTGGGATGGGGCATTGTGGTTCTTAAGAATAGGATCCACCCAGCTTTCTTCCATTCAATGTTTAGGTGGACGCTAAGGGTGAGCTTAATTCTACCCTTCAAAAAAGCACGACTTCACATCTGGGTTTCAGAACAAGGAGCTCACTTCAGTTTTTCCCTGTGTGACTTCCCACTTGATAAAGTAGCAGCTTGAACGTGACTGAAGGGTCACAGCAGAGGTGTGGCCCTCAGATGTTTCAGAACTACAATTACAACTCAGCGTTCCACTTGTGAGAAATGCTGGAAATTGTGGTTCTGCAATGTCTGAAGGCCTTAGGTCAGTGTTGTCCAAACTTGGCCACTTTAAGATGAGTGGACTTCAACTCCCAGAATTCCCCAGCCAGCCATGCTGGCTGGGGAATTCTAGGAGTTGAAGTCCACTCATCTTAAAGTGGCCAAGTTTGGACAAAACTGCCTTAGGTCTACAGATCAGCAAATGTCCCAGTTCAGTCTTTAACTTTTCCAGTCTACACACAAGAGAAAGAACCCGTGTGGAGTTTTGGGCAACTACACAGGCTCAGAGCTGAGAGTCTGACTTGCAATTACATTCTGACGTGAACTTAAGAGTTGGTCTACTAGTAGTGTAAAGGAATTGAGCAAGGGTGGAGTACTGTAGAGAGGATGATCTAACCCAGAAGTGTGAAACGTAGGGAAGACGCACTTGCTCGTAAGATTTAGAGGCTATTATGGTAGATAACAGATTGAGCAACATGCTAGTTATATGTTGGTCATGGCATTTGAAATCAGAAGACACCTGGTGTTGCATCAACACAACTGTTGTTTCCATGATATTTGGAAGGACTTTACTGCCCTCACCAGCTGATTCTTGCTGATTATTTTCTCTCGTGGAGGCCATCAACTCTCAAGCTGATGCCTAGAGCATTTTTTTCCAAATATACAGGGCACAGATGTTCCTGTCGACCATGATAATTTAGGAACGCAATGTGTGAAGATCAACAACTGGGGAAGAGTTTGGCCTCTGCTTTTTATACCTCAATTCCTAAGGAGGTCCGTCTTTTCACAAGTCTCCTGTCATCCTCTCAAAACATCAGAGTCACCAAGCTGAGAGTCTTTGCTTATTTGAGCCTGTTAAAGTCCAAGTGATGACTTCCCTATTTATAGGCAAACTGAGTGACAATGTGTTGCTATCAGTTTCAGATCAAATCAAAATCTTTTATTACGACGATAGGTCAGAAATGCTATCAGTTTACTGGATTAGGTCGGTAGAAACCTGTACTTTTCATCTGGGGTAAAATGCCGCCCACCAATCCGTGGAAACTTGGCTATCCCTGAACGTCTCTAACCAACATTAAACGAGAGAACTGCCTTATTTTATAAGAGTCTAAATCAGCATCCCCCAAGCCGAGGTCATCCTGATCTTTTGGGACTACAGTTCCCACAATTCTTGGCCGCTACAGCCAACTAATTAAACCATACACTAGAGCCACTCTGTATGGATGAGGATTCTGGTTGCAGGATCAGCTATCCAAAATGGGGGGGGGGGCATGCCATGCACGTGGGAAGGAGCAGGATTTTCTCCCCCCCCGCCAGGGTTTCCTTTAAAAAAATAGTCTAGAACTTAATTTAGGGCTCACACGATGGGTTTCATTTCCATATGTTTTCTTAAAATGATAGGAAACCGTGCCACCAATTCTTAGCATTGTTGCTGGAGGCACTCCAGTTGGTGGGAAGCCCTTCTGCGCGAGAAGCTAAGATGCAACTGAAGCATCGGTTGCTTCGTGCAACATCCTGGAAGCTGCCATTGGTGGCCACGTCCCATCAGAATTTCCCACCTCCCGTCTTCCGAAAGGTCATTCCAGTGTCCCTCATTGACCCGCCTGGGGGCTGTGGTCCAGCTGTTCTTTGTGTCCTGTTATTTCTGGCCACCAGGAGCAGATGACCGATTGCTTGTTTGACATCTACTGGAGTCGCTCTTTCCACAACTGCTCTCTCGCGCAAGATCATGTGCTGAGTCCTGCCCTACGTTGATTCCCCTCCGCCTGGAGATTTATTTCCATAAAAGCTTTTTAAGTGACTGCCATTTGCTCTCATCATCTGGGTTTCTGTTATGAGTCATGTAATGTTATTACTTTAGCTGAGTCCCCATCTGCCCTGGAAATCTAGCAGGAGAGACTTCCCCTCGGGTCTAGATTGTGGGATGTTGAGGGCCACCAAAGTGGGGTGGGTTAAGTTTCTTCCTTTCTTAAGGAAAGCCGAACGTCTCAAAAATCTGAGGAGCGTGCCTAGGGCATCTGTCTCAGGCTGGCACAATTCCTGCCTTGCCAATCCAAGCTCCATATTTTACAGCAACAGCCAGACTTCTTCTGGCGATGAGAAGAATGTGACCTTCAGCAGATCACCTGTTTGAGAGGTGGCTTATCCACCACTATCATTTCCCTCTCCTTTAAAATCCAGCCTCAAGAAAGCATTGGTGTGGCCTAGGACTAGAGAATGCCTCTTAAAGTCCCGGAATCCTCTGCAGCAGGTAGAAATTCGAGGGTTGCCACGTATCCGGCCCTTTCATTTTCACAGCTTGCAGTGGTGCTTTAACAGAAACCGAAGGAATGGTGGCTTGGCAGCCAGGTACATTCTCCCATCGCAACTGTTCAGATTGATTCGCCACAGCCAACTCAACACAGACAACATGTAACGAACACGTAAATGGAGGAGCATTGCTAACAAACAATATTCTTTCCTTTTTGAATGGATTGGTGAATGGAAGATCTTTATTATTTGAGAAGCTTCGGCAGCTTGGGGGAAGTGGGGTGATCACTTTCAGAAGCCTGTTAGCCGCGAAGAGCCGTGATGGACTCCCAGCGTTCCTGGCTATGCTCAGCGTTTTGAGATCAGTAGATGTGGGAACAGTAGCAGCCAATCTTCAAAATAATCAAAATTATTTTGCTGCCCTATAAAAGGGCTCTTCTTTGCGCTTCTTCGTGGCATCCTTTGCTATATTTATTTTTCTACGGAGTTTTAAGTGGCCCTTATATGACTTGGAAAGTAAATGTCCCATTTCTTACACGTGTTTTTTCTCCCCTTCATCATTATTAATCATTCTTTTTGTTAAACATGGCTTTCTCTTCATCTTGTTTGCCTGCCAAAATAAAAGGTCACAACTGAAGTCTTTTTTACAGTCAGTTCATAACTCAGATTTCAGCTTGTCTTTAATTCCCAAAGTGGCAGGCTCTTTAAAAGCACTTATGAAACACAAATGAAAGAAAGGGAGGGTGCAGGAAAATGAAAGATTTTTTTTTTTTTAATTGCTTGGTAAGGGGTACTCTTGTGTTATCCATCCTGATGCTGCATGGATAAGAAACCTGAAAATATTCTTAATTTCCCAGGTTAATTTTCCATCCGTACGAAGGCAGTGCTGAAGGTTCACAAAACGGCATGCGAGTTTTTGAGTTGCCAAAACCTCTTCATCAGGCAGAGCTTCCTTTTAGTTATTGAATATAGCCTGCCTTGTTAAAATAAAATAACCACAGAGCATCCTCCTTGTTTCAGCTTGAACACAGAGTTATATATCAGATTTGTCTCCCCACCTCAACCCCCAAACCTTGGGGATTGTAGTTTGAGGTATGAATGGAAAATGCTGTTACCCCACACAAAACTGGGGCTGAAGAAAGACTCCAACAGCCATTGCACATTTGCCAGTGTGAGCCCTGCGAGGTAGTCCAGACCAGAAGCACAACCGGGAGTGCTAACTCTATTGTAAGGTTACATTAACAGACAGAAAGTATTTCTCCCCTCCTTTCCTTTTACTGTCCGGAAAACTAGGGAGGGTCCCTTCCGAGACGCTTTCCACCGTCCCATTCCTTCTGAGGGCTCAGCTGCCTCTTATCCGACCGTCGGCCTGGCTGTGGCTCTTCCTCCTGTCTCCCAAGTCACTCCCAGAGACCCTGTCATCCAGAAAGCAAAGCAACAGGAAACAGTGGAACTTGCATCCAAGTGTCACATTTGCAAACACCCAGCAGTCTGCAGGCATTATGCTAGAGGAGCCGGTGGCTTTGGGGTGCACCCAAGAGACAAACCAATTTATTTTGACGTCCCCTTTTGAGGACACTTGTGTGTAAAACTGAGGGCTCCCCAACCAGGCGGATGATACGACTGCAGAAGCCCTTCAGCAGTACTGCAGCTTCCACCTCGCCCACGTAGCGTGGCCAGAGGGGTACTAGAAAGCCAGCCTGGGAAGAGGACCAGGGATGGCGCCAAATCCGGAGAGGCTGATCCTGCAGCTGGCGACCGATTGGGAAAAAGGACCTCGAGGCTACCTCCGCTTTGGTGACGTTCAGTTACAATTCTCATGTTTAGCTATGCTATCGAATTTATCCATCTGTCTATTTCTGTGGTTTCAGAAAAAGAGCCGGGAAGAGACTTGTGGCGAGGGCAGCGGCGTAGAGATCTTGGAAAACCGACCGTACACCGATGGCCCAGGTGGCAGTGGGCAGTTTACTCATAAAGTATATCATATCGGTATGCATATTCCCAGCTGGTTTCGGTCTATCCTGCCAAAGGCAGCCCTCCGAGTGGAAGAGGAATCGTGGAATGCCTATCCTTATACGAGGACGAGGTACCACCCAGTGATTTTCCCTTGCGTCTTTACGCCATCGTAGTTTGGCCACAAGCCTCTGGAGTAGTAGGCCAGGATGTGGGGGAATGAGAGCAAGAGCCGAGGCGTGCAGTGGGAAGGGCCCTGGCCTTTGCCGCAAATCATGGCAGAGATTAAAAAAAAAAATGCAAGCATTTGGCTAACTATAACGTCCAAGATGGCTTTGGCGGG